TTTTGCAGATGCACACCAGGCAAAAAGGCACCAGGTGGAACATTTCCTGGCATGGAAATACAGCGGTAAAGAAAAAATCTGTTCCCTTCCTTTCTTTCCTTTCCTGTCCTCTTTTCTTTTTCCTTTCTTTTTTAAAAACTTTGTAAAGGCAAAGGAGCCCAGCCGGGGGGGGGGGGGGATCACATTGGCTACCTTATTCCCCTATACAAATAACTTACCCACAACAGCAAACATCCCATAGTTATATAAAAGTTCTCTCTGCTGGCTTTATAACCTCCTGCTTTTCTAGAAGGAATGGGTTAGCTGCCCCATGATGAATACAGACAGGAAAAATGACCTTTTAAGTGATTCTAAAAAGAGATGCCTTATGTGAATAGCACCAAATCAGGTTGCCACACTTTCAATCAACCACTGCAGCTGTGCCCTTTTATATCAAGGTAACATGGTAGGCCTTAGCAGATGAGTATGTTTATCAGTGTGCTAGAAAAACCTTAATTGGTTAATTTCTGCACATTAAGCTATTAAAGGGAAAACAACTCGCAGTACACTAGACATGGATTTAACATGGTGTCTGTTTTGTAAAGTCAAACACAATTTTACCACTTCCATGAGGCAAGACAAAGACCATTATATTCTGGCTTAATAAACTGAGATGTGAACCAAAACTTTTGCCTGTGCATACATATGAGCCAGTGTTAAACTTCCATAGCTTAAACACTGGTATCCTTGATTAAAACCATTCCTTCCTGCTTCTTTTGTTAAAAAGAGAAAAAATCCTAAAAACTGAAATAAAGGCTTTCATTTTTTCAATAAAAGAAGCTCTCTTCAAGTGTGCAGCTGCTCACATGTGGAGCTAGACACAGTACAGGGATAGGGCATGCAAATGCACCCTCCACCACCCCTTGAGATCTGAGGTGGAGGCCCTGCTTTAGGAGCCCTCCTTGAAGGAGATCAGGAGAGAGGCTACCCAGAGAAGGGCCTTCTCTGCAGTGGTGCCCCATTTATGGAATACATTCCCCAGAGAGGTTCGCCTGGCACTGATGCTTTATTCTTTTCAGCGTCAGGTGAAAACCTTTTTATTTTCCCATTATTTTAATGTTTAGTATATTTTAACTGGATGATTTGCTGGATGCTGCATTTGTTTTGCTATTATATTGTTCCCTACTTAAGCTGTCTCAAGATGTCAGCGGTGGAGTACAAAAGTTTTAAATAAATCAATCAATAAATCTGTTTGTGTGTGGCTTCGATGTAAATCTTCATGTCTTGAGCAAAAAGGTCTGAAGAAGGGTCTGTAACTGCATTTAGCTGAAGAGTTCCCATGACCATTAAACATGATTACAGGAACTCTGTACATGCATTCCACGGAATGCATATAGATGCCCCCCTTTATGTTAAATGTGCAAATGTCTACACAAACCTAGGAACGTAGAGATGCTGGAATGGGCTTCTGTGCACTTCCATGTCTACATACCTATTTTAGCCCTACATTACAAGCAGGTGCATGACAAAAAGAGCCAAAGGGAATCCCTAATCTCACTTCAAATCCAATCTGCACAGCTGTTCCTTTTCCCCCTCTGGACAACAAAGCGTTCATCTTTTATCATGAAGGGCATCATAGCAGCAACCATATTAAAGAGATTGCAGAATCTTCACAGAGTTTCCAAATATGTTTTATAGGTTCCATTCAGATGCATTCTGTCTAATTTTTACATAGCTGAACATCTGCATGCTCACAAACAAATAGAAAATGGAAGCTAATATGGGGAATAGGAAAATGGAGAAGTCAGAAGTTGTCCTTTATGCAGTTCCTTTTCCACAGTTTTGCATACAGCAAAAACGAAAAGAATATTGAAAGCATTTTGCTGCTTTTCCAACACAAAAGGTTATCTACAGTTTACTGATTGTCAGCAGTCCATGTTCTACATTTACTCAACTTTTTAATTCACCTCAGTCATAATGAACGTTACATTATCTTGCTTTGTTCTGGAAGATGCTCCATCTTACCAGATAATTTGCAAAAGAGGTTGCAAACTTTTCAACCAGCTACTCTAGCTTGTTGTGAAGACCTCCACACCTTGTATCTTCATGTGTGAAAGGTTCACCTGCCTATTTTGGAACATCAGGCTGCTGCTGAAAGCATAAGAGCAAACCAGGCATTTTTTCCTATTCAGTTAGTAGCCCTAGTTGCAAAGAATACAGTGTTCCACTCAATCATTTACAATGCACTTGTCAGTGCCACACTTTCACAATAATTCAGCCATTCTATTTACCACATATTTCCTTGCTGGTGGCAGGCAACAATCACCTCTTAGTGAGTGGACTGTACCTTACCCGTCAGCCTCACCCACACACACTACACTGGTTCCCTTTCCATTCATGGACCCACTGCCATTTTCAAGCCTGCAGCAATCTTCCTCTCCTTTTTGCCAGCAGCACTTTAGCCTCTGAGCCAGATGTGCATTCATGACCCACTGGATGGCTTCTCCAATCTACTGCCCTCCAGAAGTAAAGGACTACAGTTCCCAACTTTACCAGCAAGTTTCTGTTAAAAAGTGACAGATGTGGCACTAAGAACAGGCATCCCAGCATCACAGTAGAATCATTAAAAACCTGCTCTGAAGAACACCTTCACTGAGGTGCTTCTTTGGGCATGCCTTCATTACTGTTTGCCTTATCAGAGCTAGACAAACTAGGGTGTGTCAGGAGGTTTATGCTGTCCAGTAGCAGCCTACTGGCAATTATTTGGGGAAAGAGAGCTCTTGTAAAAAAGAGGTCCACCAACAGGAAGTCATTCCCTTCCCAGCCTTATTAGGTAACTGGGCTGCAATGTCTTTTCCAGTAAACTGATCTCTTCTCTGCCAGAATAGCTGGTGGACCTGTTCCAGGTAGAGCAAGAGATCCCTTTTTAAGGCAGGATGAATTCTTACCAGTTCTCTTGATCAATCTTGCTCTAATTCTAGTGCCCCATTGGGCAATGGCAAACGTTCAAAGAAATGACTCAGAAATGAAAGGAAAGAGTAAGAGTCATTGACCTTTTCATATTTAAATGAAACAAGATTTAACAAATGCACTCCCTTTTATTTAATTTCAAGCTGACTTTTACATTACCTGTCAGATGATTTGCAAGCTACCATATCATTGCATACAGCCAGATAATTCGTTCAAGTTACTGCCCTGTCACAGAATGCATGAACTAAGCATGAATACACAACACTATTGACCATAATTAAAGTTACCCAGTGAGGGCAGGAAAAAGGCTACAACTCATGACACTCAACCTGCAGCAGTCCCATTAGCTTCAAAAAGAATTCTTTTAAGTGTTACGTATTCAAAATGTGAACTTATCACCTTCTGTAAACTTTCTGGACATATGTAGAAATATCCTGCAAATGCCTAAGCACACCCATGAGGCATCAAACTGACAGTGCCACCATTCTAGAAACTAGCTCAATTATCCTGAACCTGGAGCTACTGCAGATGAATTTCAAGAATCCAGCTCCAACAAGATGAGACAGACTGGATCCAACCTTGTTTCATCTTCAGTTAATACAGAAATTAGCCATTCGTCTTGATCTTTTAGATTCACAATATCCAAAAGACAGAGACCTGCCACACAGTCTTTGTAAAACTAAGTGGGCAATCAAAAGTTAAAATCAGTATTTTAAATCACCAGGAGTCCTCCATGGTTGATTTCATAATCACAAAAATGTAACAAAAGAAGCTACATTAGCTAGGGGCAGCATCCCAAATTAGGGGAGACAAAGCTCACTTGCCACATCAGGCTATCCCAGGTTCTTTCTTCCCATCAGATCCCTGCACTCATACCAAGCATTTACCTTGAAGATCAGTTGAACCCTCTAAAAGGAATTAGGATGAAGGCTAGAGAAACTGGAAGTAATGTTTTGCCTTTTTGTTCACAAGAAGTATATTTACATGTTACTTGTTGTGTGTATTTTTAATGTATTCACACAAAAAAAACTATAACTGGCTAGATCTGAATCCCAGATAGAACTGAATACCACAGCCAAACAGCATCACCATATTGCAATTCCACAAGCAACATTGGCTTGTTTCCCAAGCTAGTTATGCTGCTGTTGTCAGGTACATTACAAAGTAAAAATTTGCCACAACCAAATTCATATAATAAATGCAAACAGATCTGTTTCCTCAGGATACCATCATTTTGTATTTGGGTATGTATGTATGCATGTATGTATGTATAATGTACTGCATTTATATACTACTCCACAGATTCTGGAACAATAAAGAGAAAAGTAAAATGCTACATTAAAAGAAAACATCAGTAAAAGAAACAAAATACAAACAGCAGCTAGACAACCAAGGAAAGTTCTTGAAACAAAGATGCCTTCAGGAGGCACTGGAAAAAACACAGTTTGCTCCAGAGACAGGGAGTTCCAGAGAAATGGGAGTCATCATATTAAAGAATCTTTTCTGGGTGGACTCCAATCAGGCCCTTACCTTAATTAGCAAAAGCATGCTATGGACATACCCCTTAAAAATACCTGGGATAAATATTTCCCTTGCAAGTATTTCAAAAGGACGTGCCAAGGCTTATGCGAATGGGACAGCATACAAAAATTCCAAATAAATAAATAAATAATTTTATGCCCAGCATTTCATGTTGGATGCAAACATCGAATCTAGTTTGTTTGAAAACTTACCTTTCTACAAGGAAATAATGCTTAAGGTACTTACGAGAATAATATCCAATGGCATCCGGAGAAAGCATTTTAATAAATATGTTAAGTCTTTTAAAGAATCACACTACACTGTGTTGCTTTTGTTGCCTCAAAATGACACAGCTACCCTTCTGGAAATTCTTGTTAAGAAACTCATGTATTTTCTACTTTGGCATTTGATAGCCATACATTCAGGTATAATCCATAAACTAGCAATCTCCAGTTTAGGAAAGCCAGCTTAACCAGTTTGTGTTCTGCAAAGATACATATTTCTTATCGATACGAAAAAAAATCACTTACACTTGTATGATGGGAAATGCTGCCTCCAATATTAAGGTTCTTGAGAAGCTGTGGTGATCCACCATATTGCCCTGAAATCTGCTTCCGAACTTCAGCTGCTACAGTTCTAGAACAAGAAAGTTCTTTTAGTAAGACGTATCAGTTACTTATACATATGCAATTAGAACTATGTATGATGCAGGCATGGTATATATTGCACAATGAATTATCCATTTCAGTGTATGAATGCACTGAACATGCAAATTGTTCACCACCATGGGATTTTTTTTTTGTTAATGTTGTTGATTTTGACCATTTACAAAGTAGATTATCAATTGATCTACCACAAGTATCCATCTCTAACAACAAATTTGCACACGACCAACAAACAAAGGAAAGACAATTGAAAAAAAATATAGAAAATGAAGGAGTAAGGCAAATGAGATACAAAATTGGAAGCAAAAGTTCCATTGCATTTATAAAAATTACTACGAGTGTCATTTCATATTAAATGATGAAATAGCCACTTTTTGTTCATTTGTTGTTTCTAAAATCCCAGTTACAATAGCCATCAGAGAAGGCTTATCTCCTGTATTCTGCAGAGAATCTTCACTTCCAAAGTTACATGAAGGGATGAGCCCACCAACTCATCACTTTCAAAGCTACCAGAGGAGATGAATCCACCCAAGTTGCTATCAACCAAGTTCAATTATTGATGGACAAGTCTTTCCCCTTTGACTAATATGCTAGTCACTCTGGTATCCTAAAATATCATCCTGGTTCACATGTAATGACAATCCATGGGTTAAAGATCCCCCCCCCCTTTCTCGAAAGTGAAACTGCTAGGTTGCTAGGTTGTTTTTTTAGTCTAAACAAGCCAGCTGTTCAGGTACAGACATTACAATCTATGACCTACGAAGAAGTCCATCATGTATCATGGAGCAAAAACAACAGTGCTAGGTGCATCATTCATGGCTGAAGTACCCATGGTATATTTAACAGATGGGCTGTTACATGCCAACAGGGCCATTACCATTCATTGATAACATGGGTTAGGAATTACTTTTTGCCCAAAGAATAAAGTTTGTAGGCAACCTGCAAATAACCTATAGAGACTACATGAAAGAATATTGAAACTGTCTGTTTTGTTTCAAAGCCTGGACCCTAAAAAGGTTTGGCAATAAAAAAAATCTATGCAAGTGAAGGCAAAACCAGACATAAGATTTCCAAATAATTATATCTAAAGTAACATGCTTCCATGATTTTTTGCTGAGTTTCCAAACCAGCTTTGCTTTAAATCTTAACAACCAGCACACAGACTGCTGGAGTTTGATGACTGACTTAAGAGTCCATCAGGTGTTTGAGAAGAGGTTTAAAGTCTTTTAAAGCATGACACTGACAACCCCTTTCATCACCAGGATCATCAGAGATGGAAAATGCTAAGCCAGCAATGCAAACAATAGTTTGCTAATAAGAGTTAGATAGTGAAACATGAGAAACAAATTATAATGTGAAAGAACTGTCTAACACTAGTTCAGGTCACTCAATGAAACCAACTTAGATTCAGAACAGTAAAATATACATTTTATGGTTTTATGGTGTGGTGATGGCCACTACCTTACAGTATCTTTAAAGGGGAACATTTGAATAGTTTATGAAAGTCGTAGTGACATAATGGTGGTGAGACTGAGCTATGATTCACAGTTCTAGATTCCACCTTCACCTCAGCTATGAACATGCTTAGGTAAAGCCAATGTTAAAAGCCTTAGCCCTGTCATGCACAATATTGGGCACAGCCATACTGACTTCTATAAGGTTGTAGTAAAGATTACTACTAGATAATGTATATGCAGCACTTTGAAAGAACCATATAAATGTTTAATAACAACAACAACAACAACAACATCAGCAATGCTGTATCACTGGCTGTTAGCCACAATACCAAAATAGAGTCAAAGGCAGTATGCTGCAGGAGAGGGAACAACATACAAGGGAGACTATTGCCTTCATTTTTCATTTGTGAGCTCCCTGGGTCACCAGCTGGTGAAATTGAAAAAAATCACTGATACTTATATGCTTCACAATTGTGTCCTAAGAAAGAGAGCCGATACTTTCATGGCCTCCCCAGTATTTCTATTTTGTACCAGTAACAAGCTTATTTCAATACACCCAACTCTTTGTGAACCTGCAAAACCCAAGCTTATTGAAGTTCTCCAAATTTCAAGTCAAAACCCATTCTGACTTGAAACTGTAATAGACTGCAAGCACTGTGAATGCGGGGTGGGGGACATGAAAATCTGTGCATATTTTTCCAAACAAACTCATTAACTGGGCACATCCTTGAAATGTACATATTCTTCCTCCAATGACTAATGTAAATTTGTGCACATTTTCCATGCTTATTTTTAAGTGTATACATTTATATCCTGTTTTTTTTCTTACAGCAAACTTAAAGCAGCTTACATCATTCTCTCCCCCCCTCCCCACTTCATTCTTAGCCGCACAACAACAATCCTATGAGGTAGGTTGGGCTAAAAGTCTGTGACTGGCCCAAAGTCATCCAGTTGGCTCCATGGCTGATTGGGAAATACAAACCCAGATCACCTGAGCTCTTAACCACTACAACACACTGGCTCTTATTTACATTTATCTAAATCTATAGATATCAATAGCAGTGTGTGCCAGGTTCAGATTTGGTCCAGAAGGTGCAAAGGATCAAAAACAGATTTCTCACACATCCCTACCTAACTCTCATTAGGTTTATTTGTACTTGGAGGCCTAGTTTTTGAATGAAGAACTTGGTTGTAATGTATGTGAGTTAACTGGCTCTCTTAGCATGTTTCAGTGCTAAGGTGGACAATAAAACAGTCTACTTTGTTCTGGATTATCCCATTAGGCTATGAAACTAAGCATGCTTACTTGGAAGGACATCTGTCACAGTCAGTAGGTCATATTCTTGAATATGCAAACCTAAGACTGGAGATCAAGGAATTTTATACATAAAGCTTTGCCTGACTAAAGTAAGTTATCTATAACATTATCTAATGCTCATGTGAGTTCATGAAAGTCTTCAAGCAATTAAGTCTGCATTTCAAGCTAGAATCTTTCACCACAGAAACTACTCAGCAAGGAGAAAGCAAAATAAATCTTTACAATAAGCCTCTGGTAATCTTGAGGTTGAAAAGCAATCCCTAGTACATGACATTGCAGCCCAAAAGGAAGTTTGACAAAAATAAAAAAGATATCTATAAAATACATAAGTAACTTTCTACTCTCCAGGTGATTTGGACTACAATTCCCATCAGCCCTAGCCAACATAGGTTATGGTGTGGGTTATTAAGAACTGTATGTCAAAACACCTGGGGGATATGGTTTGTCCACCCATGTCCTTCTATTTTTTAAAACAGTTTTAGCACTTCTCTTTGTGTGTATGTAGATTAAAACATTTCAAAAAAGAATCTTCTTGCATGCCAGGGCTCAAGAGTAGCAACCTTCTGTGCAGAAATTTAACTAATCAAAGGTTGAGCTAAAGGACTTTTTCCTTCCCAAAATAACAAGGAAAAGAACATACAATTGTGTTGTCTCTATACTATATTTACCGCTATGCTTTTTTGCCTAGTTACACCATTTGTTTTGGCGGACCATTGAGTATGACCTGGACAACTCAGGATCCTCCAAACCAAACACAGTCAACCAAGTGCGTAAGACTGCCACTGGGGATTCAACAGACCTCATGTTTTTCCAGCCAAAGGCTGTCAGAAAGAAGCAAGAACAGTCAAATTTTAAAGGCACTGTTCTCAAACATGCCCAAAAAACGTCTTCCCACTCCAGGAAATGACTGCACAGGACAATACCTATAAGTAGCATATCAGCATCTTTTTAGGGCAGGGCTTTCCTTAGCCAGGCTGCAGGTGGTCCTGTAGCTACACCAAACCTGGCAGCAACAGGAAGGAGCACAGTCTTGATGGTAACAGTCCTAGTCTACTTGATCCTCTCTGCTTTCACGGATGCTACTTCTGCAGCATAAACTGAGCTAGCAACGTTTCTTGATATTCTGGTATAGTAAAAACAGCATTCTCACCTGGCTATCTTCCAAGTAAAGAAAACTATAAATTCTGGATCACCATTTGATACTAGTTTTGAGAATTCTCTAGTATTCTTTCTCAGGAATGGTCACATTAATTTTTAACAGTGGAGATGAAAGACAGATGCTAATATCCAGGAAGGCAATCCACTGCAGCAAAATAAAGGAGGTCATTTGCATTAAAAGCACTTGGGGACTACCAATGGGATGTGTGTGGGATTCATTTTTGACAATTCACTGGCAACAGAAAAAATGAAGCCTTCAGGTTTTTCTAGTAATTGTTGTCAAGATGCAACCACAAGCCACACACTGACAATCGCCTACCTAAAAGGTGAGGGATGAATTTTAACGCTATCAAAAAATGAGAAACCAAGTTTCAAAGATTATATAAGATGGAAAAAATAATAAAATATTCAGCTACACTCATTGTTCAATGAGATCACTGCATAGAGTTCTTCTGAACCAAAGGTGCAGTGACAATCTATGACAGGTGTTCCAAACCCAGCGTGCCCACATCCCTGAGTGGAGAGTGGGGTATGAGATGGCATTACAGGAGGTTGGACAAAGAGGTCACATTGCCATTCGCCAAACTTGAGAATTTGGCTGATTTTTTTTTTGCCAAAACTTATTATTTTGTCTGTATTTGGATTCAGTTCTCATTTGTCAATCAAAACAAAATCCACAGGCAGACTTGCAAAAATCACAATCTGACAAGATCATTAATGAGAAGCAGGAACAAAGTCACCATTGAATTTTATGTTCACAGTTGGGATTGATTTTACTGTTTACAATTTTTTCTAATTGCTAAATTTATATTTGAATTTTAGGCACTGAGTTAAAAGCTTTTTGAAGTTCAATCTGTTCACCCACAGTACTGTATGCGGTTCAATTTGTGGTTTAAAAATTAGAAATTTGACTTCTTCATTTTCAAATATGGTATTACTTTTGTAGGGGATGCGAACATAAATCATTTTCTAGGGGTGTGGGGCACAGAAAAGGTTGGGAACCACTGGTCTATGAGAAGTTTAGGTCTCAGTGTCAAG